ATCCATGCTGATTGCCCCTGAGCATCATTTCTGATGCCGGCCCATCACAAATGTGCTCCTTGATGATCTTCTCAAAGAGTTTCCCCAGGATTGAGGTAAGACTGACGGGCCTATAGTTGCCCGGGTCCTCCCTCTTCCCCTTCTTGAAGATGGGGACCACATTTGCTACTTTCCAATCATCTGGCACCTGGCCCAAGCACCACGAAACTTCCCAAGCACCATTCAAACTTCCCTGAGAAGACTGGGGCTGGCCAGAAACTGTCCCAGTCTGGGGCAGTTCCTAGCCAGCTCCAGGCTGGGTAGAAAACTCTCCCCAGGGTGCAGGGAGCTCCTGGCCCTAGTTCCACTACCAGAGTGGAGGCTAAGAGATTGCTCCCTGCCCCCAGGAGCTGCCTGCTACCAGGACATGTGGACATTGTCCCACCCAAGCTCTAAGCTCAGAACCCACCCTGGTAACAGGCAGCTCTCAGAGGCAGGGAGCAATCTCCCAGCCCCCACTCTTATTGTGGAGCTGGGGATGGGAAATGCCTGCCAACAGGGCAGGTGGACATTGTTTCAGCTGGGCTTTATTGCGCAGTAAAGTGTCTCATGTAGACATACCTACTGTGCAGTATTTTACTGTGCAGTAAAAGCCTTTATAGCACATGTGGAAATGCCCAATCTATCCTTCTCCCAAAGATACAAATACCCCTTGAGTCAGAATGAAGCTGTCAACAATCCTTGACTTACTGCTCATAATCTTACAATGCCCTGGCTATGAAAGAGGAAAGATTCTTGTATAAGTAGATGTAATAGGGTTACCTTCCCAGCCTAGGTCTGGAGCAAACTGGGCACACAGTTGTAGCTCTACTATACTACCCTGGAGGGCCACTCTTATGCCACCCCTCTCTCACCAGGGTCCCATTCACTCTGCCAGCTCTCATCTGGCCCTTTTCATGCTGCCCTCTCTCTTGGGCCACATTCATACCACCTGGCCTCGGGCTTGTCTATCCACACTTTGGCCAACTCCAGTGCAGTCTGCTGGGCATCTCCCGCTTGCTAATAGCCAACTTCCCTCTTCATATATCTGGCCTGTGTTTGAAGATAGCCGTCGCAATCAGCCACCTCGCAGCTGCCTACTCCAGTCCTTAAAGTGGCAGGCACCAAGGTGCATGGCCACAGCAGAAATGAACAAACAAATGAATGATTCAGAATGAGAGTTGTATTAACTCTCTAGGCAGTGCCTAAAAACACTGATACTGCACACAAAGAAATAACACCTTTCCCCACACATGGAACATCTCTACGGTTTTTAGTTTTCTGAGCATGAAATCCACAATCAACCTTAAAATGCTCAGTAAACCAAGTTCACTGTTGCTTTGGACATAAACAAAAACCTGCCTGGAACCCAAATGAAATATAATGAGGTGTTGTATCAGGAAAAAAGGGAAAACAGAAAATAAAGGTTCAGTGATACCTTTAAATTTACTTTTCCATACCCTGAATCCATGTTTATTGTAGTCATCCTGGTTAAGCCAAGCTAGAGCCAAACCCATTTCACATATACTTTTATTCTGAAATAAGGCTAAAATTAAAAGAAAGGCCTTTAGATCATCCTACCCCTTACAAAGCTTTCCAATATCAAACCATTCCCGAGAAATTTCTGTTCACTGAAAGAGTAAAAGCTGACATTGAGTTTTATGCAATTCATTTTTTCTTGCAATATTTCTCTTGCTTTTCCTTACCAAATCCAAGAAGCAGAAAGGTGTGCAAGAAGAGAGATGGGAGAGCAATAAGCCTCAAAAAGCCTTCAAGGTCATTTTGAATTTCAGACAAATGTTTGGATTATTTTTTACTTTGTATGAATTGCATTATCCCCCCCTAGTTAAAATGAGCTATACAGTATCAGAGGAGAAAGTCTAGTACTTCAAAGATAACTATGTAAAAGTTCTTGTGAAAATCTAAACTCTAAAATGAATCAGCTTTAGCACTTATGGAAGCAAATCAGCATATCCTTATAGTCACTGCCAAAGATTCAGCTATTGCTATAAAAACAAATTTATAATAATTTATTCAAGTCCTCACAGTAAGACTTAACAATTTAGGTCTGCAACTATTTCCCTCTAAATCAAATCACTGAAATTGGAATACATCAAACTCTTGTTTCTTCATGCAAACCTAAATCAAGGTATAGGTGAATGAGATACTTATTAGATAATATCATCAGTCTTAAATCTTTTAGTGAAATAGCACTTTCAGAAACAAGTGTGTTTTGACTTTAAGTCAATTCTTAGGCATTTTTTCCCTCTTTCCTTTGAATATCTGTGAAATTATCTTGTTCCACCAGAAAGACAAGTTTAATTATGAAGCTCAATTTTTGCAATAATTTTTAATAACTGGCAGTTGAAACATTTGCATTTTTTGCACTTCAGGACTGAGCTTTTAGATTTTGTCAGGTTAAGCAATAATTAAATAACCCAAATATCTTTATATTTAATGAACACCCTTAATATATTATTGTGGATAGTTTATTCATAATTGGATTTTTTTCAAGTTAAAACAAATTAGCTATCCTTTTATGTTTTTACACCTTTAGATTAGACATCCGCAAGAACTACTTCACAGTTAGGGCAGCTAGGAGCTGGAACCAACTTCCTAGGGAAGTGGTGCTGGCTCCTACCCTGGGGATCTTTAAGAAGAGGCTTGATGCCTACCTGGCTGGACTCATTTGAGTCCAGTTTTTTTCTCCCGCCCAGGAGGGGGGTCAGACTTGAAGATCTACAAGGTCCCTTCCAACCTTACTTCTATGATTCTATGATTCTATAACATTTATTTATTTTCAAAAAATGTCTTTCATAATATCCCAGCACTCATATTCAAAAACAGAACTATTTAGTTGACTGAAGCCTAGTAAACTAATGGACTGGCCCCAAACTTCAAATATACATCTATTTTTTCTTGTATTGGGACCTTTTAAAGCACTTTGCACCATGTACTTCTGTTTGGTCATGGCTGTAGAGTGCTTTCAGGAGCCAGATTGGATGAAAATTGTCACTTCTGTCTGCTCTCACTGTGTATCAGTTGGTACTTGAGAATGTTCTATGAGACGAAGCCCCATGAAAAATGCAATATCTCAAATGTACCTTGAGCTGATATAGGGAAAGGTAATTGAATCAGGTTTCAACTCTGAGAGTTACATTTATTATGCTAAGAACAGACAGACATTTTTAAAAATCTGTCTGGCCACTGCAGCTATTGGGATTTCAAGAACAATGCTTGTTCTAAAAATGCTTAAACTGAAAACATCTTTTAAAATGGGTACCACTCTCCTAAACAGTGGTAATCAGTCCAAAAGTTATAGTTATAGGGCTGGTGATCTTCTTGATCCTTCTTACATCTCTCCCAGTGCACCTCTATGGATGTCAAGCATTGTGATTTTACCTGTGCTGAACTGGAAGCATGTACTACATCCCCTCTGAGGTTAGGCTACAGTCCATTCTAGTTTGTATTGACTAGGGTCCCCTGGCAGTGGATCCAACTGGGCTTATTACTGTACAAACAACTATTTTCAGTGGAGAACAGTGCCTATTAGGCAATTTATGAAAGTAAGTTGTTACAGTCTTTTTCCTGTCTGAGTTCTGTAAGATATGTTGGGCAAGGTAGAGCCAAGGATCTGCCTACCCTCATCCCTTTGCCTGTCCATTCTCCTTATCTTTGTGGAATAGGCCATAATAACTTCATGTTAGTTATTATTTCACTTTGGTTTTGATCAGGAATTGGAATAGCCTTCACACAACAGATCTTTCTACCCCTTTCTCATCCACCTATAGGCTGGTTCATAACTGAATCCATAGGAGAATGTTTTAGAAATGAGACTTGGGACTTTCTTTCTCAATACTCTGCTCTGCCCTTCATTATCAGAATGCAGCTGGTTCTTCAGATGGTCAAAGCAATTCTAGTCCTTATCAGTAATTTAGTCTGTAAAATATTTGCCACTATAGTAAAAGAAAAGCTCTTTTAAAATTGGGTTTGTTTTCCATATATCCTAAAGTGGGTCACCAGACCTTGACTCTAAGGTTTGTTAACCTCATGTTTGTTTGCTTTTTTAAATTGATATAAGGGCCAGTTTTGATATATCTTGCCTCTGAGGAATTTGCTCAAATGCTTCCCTTAATTGTTCGTTTGGCTTTGCATTCTCTGTGGAATCCCTCCTCACGTCTTAAGGGACTTATAAGAGGGTGTTGTAATTGTCACTGCCTTGTGAATCCATGTTTTGAAGGAATAGTGTTCATTTTAGGAAATTATCTTTTTTCATGATGAAGGTGCTAGTCAGCATAATGGTGTTACATCAAAACATCTTACTCTCATTCTCTCATAAGAAAATATTCAACTGCTGAATGCAGAGCTGAGAGAGAGTGACTGATCAGGTAGCTGTCTTCTGTCAAACTGCACCTTATATTTGAGAGGGAGAACAGTTAATTAAAATGTGTCTGTGAATGGTTTTGTTAATGCTCTTGTGTTCAGAAATCATACATTGGGTGGGTGAAGGAATGATAGAAAAATCCCAACAGCTGTTTTTCTCCCCTCATCCAATTTGCTGAGTACTGTTTTCAAACTGACCATGGCAGCACTCTAGTTCTCTAAATTAGGTAATTTAAAATTCTGCAAAATTATCTAGCATTTACTAGTATGCTAAATACACACACACACACATACACACACACACACACACACATGCACACACAGAATGTGGCCTTCATAGTCATCATTGGGCTATTGGGGGGGTTTTGCTGTATCCTGACCTGTCTTACAGAACCAAGAAATGTCATAAGACTTCATGGAGGGGAACACTGTCATCATTAATGCATCCCTAAGTTGGTCCCTGTTTGGTTTTAATCAGAACTATGTAGTTATTCTAGCATAGTTTCTAAATGGGATTCTTCTGGGTATTTCAAATTACACCATAGGGGGAGAATATTGTCAGTTTTCATAGAATAAACTTCACATTATTAATTAAATGTTTAATTAGTTTACTTGTTTTTCTTCCTTATTGCACTACTTATTCAGTACATTTTTAATGAGGCCCCAAGGGGTTTTAAAAAAAAAATTCACTGTTTGTTTGGGGTATAACTACTCAGCTTCACTGTAGTCCTATGATATTCCCAAATTGAAGTGTTTGTAAGACATTATATAGTGGGAAAATTGTTACTGTATCATCAGAGCTGTGCTTCTAGTGTACAATAGCCTATACTTCTTAATTTAGAACACATGCTTGTTCATGATAAAATTTCTAATTTGGAAAAGAGAGTTAATTGAATCACTAACTGGGCATCTGTAATATTTAACACTAGAAATATTTAACACCAGTAGCCATATTACTCTGGACATCTCATCCAGAATCCAAAGCTAAGCAGCATCAGGCCCGGTGACTGTTTGCATAGGAAATCCCCAGGAGGCTATAGGAAAGTAGGATGCAATTCAAATAGAACCGGTTTTCATGTCCATACTGAGCCAATGCCTCTGCATCATTTTCAGAATTGCTTTCCCCTGCATCTACAGCACCTGTACCAAGAATTCTGCAGGGCAGGTTGGAAGAACTGGGGTAACTGATTCTGAGTGGAAAAAAAAAAGTTTAAGTGAAAATTTGGTAACAGTCTTCAAATACAAAAGAGTCTTAAAAAAATACAATTATTTTCTGTGTCCACAGGGGAATGGACAAGAAGTAATGGTCTTAAGTGGCAACAAAGGAAATTTAGGCTAGGTATCAAGGGGCACATCTACACATGCATTTCATCCAGGAGCAGTTTACTTTCGAGTAAACTACTTGAGAGTAAGCACTCCTGGGCAGGTGCCTACATGTGCAGGGAATTGGAAGCAGTTTGCAAATATGTTTCTGTTTCCTGGGGCCCTGCAATGAGCCCCTGCCACCACCACAGGAAGCTGGAGGCTCCAGCCATAGGTCCATTAATGCCCAGGTCAGATGGGTCATAGCCCAGGGTCCTTCAGGAAATGGGAACCCTGGGAGGGAGAGGCAGGCAGTGCAGCATGCATGTGTGCATATGCAGTCTGGCTGCCAGCATTGCTGGTGACCAGGACCCCACCCAGCCAAGTGGAGTTCAACAGCCTACTTACTGTATGGTGATAAGTTTGTGGAAGGGAAAAAGGGGCATGGGAGGTGGGGGAAAATTGAAGTTCCCACTGTGAGGGAGGGGGCCGGTGCTGGGGCCAACGCAGCAGGGGCTGGGGCCGGGGTCATGGCACTGCCCAGTCCCAGCCAGGGCAGTGCATGCCTGGGGCAGGGAGCAAGGTAATGGTGTTGGCACGTGGCTGGCCCAGGGGACCATGGGTGGGAGGAGGGGCAGCTCCCTGTTGCTGCATACATCTCAGGCCAGGGGAAGCATGGGGGGGACATGTGCCTCCCAGATTTGTGCGGGGGTAGAGACAGGTTGCACACTGTTTGCTCAGGTATGTGCCTATTGCCTTTGCTGGGGCCCTAGAACCCCTCCCTGTCCTGCCAGAAGGGGGATAGGTTCCAGCCAGCCTCAGCTGGGTGGGGAAGCACAGAAGTCCCCAGTTCTAGTGCTTTTTGGCTCCTGGCTCCTGTGGGGAACCAGGAGGTGAGTGTGCTGGGATGGGAGGAACAGAGAGCTACCTTGTCCTGGTGTTGTTGCCCCAGGAGCCAGGACCTGGGCACCATCAGAACCAGGAGATTTCCTTGTCCCTTGTGGTACCCTGGTGTTGGGACTGACTGGAAGAAAATTTCCTCTCAGTCAGCATCTACACATGAGCTACTGTGCAGTATCTACTGTGCAGTTAGTTTACTACCTATATTTACAGGTAGAAGCTAACTGTGCAGTAGACTAATTTACTGTGAGGTAAACAGTGTACATGTATAGACAGTGATGCTTTACTGTGCAGTAGGTTAGTCTACTGAGCACTAAAGTATCTCATGTAGACATGTCCATTATGTCCTTTACTGCTTCAGGATTTGGAATGGGTCTGGAAGTGAGAGGAAATATTTAAATTTAGAATTCTACTAGCAGGACATGAATGCAGGAAATGTGAAGACAACAGCTGAATTAAGAATAAGGAGTTATGGGGTGAGGGAGGCAAAGAGAACCAGGAAAAGCCTCTATAATCTCAGAGACCAGGGATGGATAGACAGGATATAGACATAATAGACTCATCAGAAGAATGAGCTGTTGTTTTTTTTTATTTGGCCAGTTTCAGGAGCACCTTGAAAACAGAAAGGGAAAGGAGAGAACCAAGGAGAATGTAGAAATCATAGGGTATGAGGTGCATGTGGAACAGATTTGGTGAATGAGGAACAGGACTTGGTTGCTTAAGGCCAAGAGTGAATTTTAAAGTGTGTGCCTTTATTTTGTTGATGGGAGGGGAACTGGTCCAGGAGTTCATGTATTCACAGTAGACTTTTATCATAGGCTCCCAGTTCCTCCTTCCCCCACCCCTTTCTGTGGTACTGTCAATGATGAATTGACAAGAGGAACATTTAAAGCTATATTCTATTCAGTCCCTAATGCAATCCTAATCCACCCTGTTTGGGTCCTTGAAACATCTTTAATACAAAAAGGGGGTGGATTTTCTTTCTCCACATTGGATGAAGGGGTGGGAATTTATAAGGTGGAGGGGCTGGGAGCTGAACTTAAGGAAAGTCTTTCCCCTTTTTGCTCCCACTTTTTAGATGGAAAATGGGGAAACTGATTTAAAAACCAAAGGGGCTGGGAGCCTTGCATGTGGAGGCTCTCACCAAGGAGAAGTTCACCTGCCAGCTTTCCCTTGCTGCCCAACTGACTTGGGGCAGAGCAGGGTGAGACACTGTGCTATGCCACTGCAGCATGGCTCAGAAGCCTTGCTGCCATGGTAAAATGCCTCCACCTCACCCAGCACAGCCCTGGGTCAGCACCTTCTGCACCCCTGCCACAAGGCTCCCAGAGCCTTGTCCCAGCAACTGAGGGTCCCCCCTCCCCACAGGAGAATGTCTACCTCCTGCCAGTTAACTTATTGATGGGAAGAGAAGACATTCTCCCAGGACAGGAAAATTCCTGTGCTGTCTCTGTCAGATACTATTTGGAAAACAGTCTCCTAGTGCTCCCTGGCTGGAAAGCCATCTGTGAAGTTCTCCAACCATGAAGCTGGAGGGCATCTGTATAGCTTAGCTCTTTGGCTATTTTTCTACTGGAAAAAATTTCTTCTGGTAGAGATGAATGCCTGTAAGCAGCCTTATTGACCTTGGAAATGCTATGCAGCTTAAGACTGTACTCACTTTTACTTGTAGTTCTTACCTTGGGTTCCTAATCCAGCATGTCTATGTATTAGTCACAAATACTGAGATGAATTCCAGTCCTGTTGAATTAAGTCACAGATCTTTCTCAATGTATGACAGCACTTAGGCCATGTGTAGACGAAAGGAGGGGCATATGTGCACAACATTTCAAAGTGGGCTAAATGCTTTTGCACTGCTTTAATTGGGTCAGTGCTTGCACATGTTGGCAGTGTATTGCACATTAATTACAGCCGCTGTAGGAAATTTGGCATCATAATTCACCTTAAATGGCTTGGGGCACATGAAATCAAAAGTCCTTTGAGGAGTTTTAGTTTGCTGCCCTATAGCTGCAGAGCAAAGCACTGGGCTGGATGCAGCTCAGGGGCTCTGCAGGAAGCCCTGCAGGCAGCCTGGGAGCAGCCTAGGAAGACAAGCTCTGCCCAAGAAAAGTGGCAAGCCTGATCTTTCCCTCCTTCCCCCCTACTCCCCTGAGCCAGCCTGCATGCATGAGTTGCACAGGGATCCTGTGCTTCCCTGCACAGCTGCAGTGCCCACCAGGACCACCCAAGCCGGGTGCCACCTGGGTGGGGGGGAGCTGCCGTGGAGGGAAGCACCAGCCCTCCACCCCCACAGCCCATGAACCTCTCCACCTGCCGGCAGCTTGCCCTCCCCTCCCCGCTGCCGGAGAAGCAAGTAAGTGCAAGGTGTGTGCATGACACAGGGTTTTAAAGGCCGTAAATTGAAGCAGTGGGTTTAAAAACCCACTGCTTCAATTTAGGGCCCCCGGTTTGTCTAGACATGCCCTTAGGTAACATAAGCACAGGCAATAGCTGAACATCTAAAACAAACAGATTTTCCTAATTATATTCTGTTAATTTATTAAAAACTCTGTTCTGGTATGAGTCCTGTTTATTAGGGGTGTGCAAAGTGGGCCCTATTCAGTTCAGATTCAGCCCAAATCAGGGACAGTGATTCGATTTATTGATTCAGATCACTGTCCCTGATTTGATTCAGCTGAATCTGAAGATTTGATGCTGATTCAGAGAACTAACGATTGAGACATAGACTCAGCTTTATATGTTTTTTCTACATACCTCGAGGTACCAGTGTGGCTTTTGAATGCTGCAATGTTGACGCGGATGGAACATCCCACAGGAGTGTGAGGGGGAGCCCTCCATGTGCTCAGTGGTGAACCCAGAAGTGGACCAGAAATACTTTCGGTCCACTTCCGCGTCTGCCAGGGAGCACACTGTACCCCCCTGGCTCAGTGATCAGCCTCAGGGGGACACCAGGTGCCCTCCCCCCCAAGACCCAGAAGGTACCAGTTGCCAAGCCAGGGAGATGCAGGAGGCCCCCCTGAGTGCTCCCCAGTGGATCCGCAAGTAGACATGAAGTGCTTCTGATCTGTGTCTTGGTCTGCTGCCAAACACACTGGGGAGCCCCCTGTGCTTCTGTGGGATGTTCCATGTGCTCCAGCATTGAAGCATTCATGCTACCTAGAGGTATGTAGAAAAAATATTTAAAGCATTGTCTATGTCCAAGTCTCTGAATCAATTCAGAGGGTTCCAATTTGATTCAAAGAGATTAAAGAGTCCTCTGATTCAATACGGATTTGGAGATTTGGCCACTGAATTGAGCTGAATCTCCACTGAATCAAAACAGGGACTGTTTTGCACAGCCCTACTGTTTATCTTCTGCTTATTGGATCATCAGAAATCTCCTGTAGAAGTAGATCCTTGTTCAGCATTAGTCAGGGCTCTTTCAATACTGCCTGTAGTGTTCAGCACCTTTATCTGATAAATAATTAAGAAACTGTTCTCACTTGCAACACATCAAACACCTTAGATTGTGTCATATAATAAGCATTATGCTTGTGTTCCATCATAATCAGCTCTTTCTACCTTTATTTTTTTTTTAAATATATATAGCAGGGGAACCTAGATGTTCTGAATTGCTAGAATTAACGTATGTGATCAGACTTGAATACTTCTTCTAACTAAAATGTTCCAAAAATGTTATGCTTTCAAGTAGTTACAGTATTTTTTATTAGAAAGTAAATTCAAGTTAGTTTATGCTGCTTTGTAGGCTTCAGTTAATCTAAAGCATCTAAGGGTATGTCTACATGGCACAATCCATTGCTATAAAGAGACCCAAGCAAGACCAGAATTAACCATCTCCAGGATGAAAAGCAGTGTAGCTATACCACATGCTTTGTAGGCCCAGTTAGTTAACTCTGCTTGGAAGCAGGTTATTTTAATTCAGACAGAACACCACACTCATTTGGCTGTCCTGCTTTTGGTTAATGCACAAAGCAGCCTTAAGTCTTTGGTCCATGCCCATTTCAGATTACAGGAATTCCTGTTTTCTCTACTTTTGCTTAATCCATTTTCTTGCTTTATGGGAAAACACTTGATTTTTATTTTCTTTCTTTTCTTTTGATGGGGCTAAAGTGATCCCTGTCAGTTAAGCTGATCACCAGTTAAGCTGATTACTCTTGATCTGTGCTTTTTTTTTCCAGTCCTCTGTCTGTTTTCTGTAATGACTAGGCTACAAACTATATGAGGAAAGGTTATGAAGCTAGTTACATTTTGCCTTTCATTATATAACAGGCTCTTTCAGGCTTTTATTTTCTTATTATCCCAGAATAACCTACTAGAGCAACTAGGAAAGAAAGGAAGGTTGTCAGTCTCTCCTAGTTCTCCCAAATGGTCATGAAAATATGTCCTAGTACTATGTGTTATTGTTGTTGGAGGTGTGAACCAGCACATGCTTTGTCATCCTTCTAAACACTGGAACAATATAGTATGACTAATTGGGACAAATACTGAGACACTGAAAATTATAAGTTAAAGCAAGAATAAAGAATCTAATGTTTGGCTTTTTTCTTCTTTCCTGGGTTTAAATTAAAGAAAATGTGACATAAGTCAATTTTAAAAAGAAAAGTGTAAGTATCAGGTACAAACAACCTTGTAAATGAGGTTGGAAAAATATACCAATTTAAATATCCTTTTCTTCTTGGAGAATTCTGATGTTGTGTTAAGCAAATCTAATGTACAATTATTTTAATCTTAACTGTTCAGGTGGAAAAATGGGAATTATTTTGGTGATGATTTTCCAGAAACAGCACGCCTTTTTAACTGAAATATTTGACATAAATTTTCCTCTCTGTCTTCTAAATAGCCTTAACCTTCTCTCTTAAGTTAATTTGGTACATCCAATGTCAACCAGGATAGCAGTCTCACGACTGGTTGTTTTCAAGCATTGCACATATGCAGCCATGTTTCTCAAAACCTTTCACCAACTCTTATTCATTAAACTACGTAAGTGATATTAATTTTAGAATGGATTCTGACCCTCCAAGTAAAGTAAGTTATCTCCATAATTAATCAGTTCTAATGATGTGGTGATAGCACTCTTTATATTGGCTAAGACTTCTTGATCCTACCTGTTGATCAGTTTTAAATAAACTTGTACATGCCTATGTGGTGAAGTAAAATAATAGATCAAGACAGACTGAGACATTGCAAATCAGGCAAATTATCATCACTGGAAGTTGTTTAGAAAATTGATGACTCCCTCACTACCAAGAATTAGGGTAATCTGTTTGAAATGTCTCAGTCGCATTGGAGTGACACCCATCAATGGGATAATTTTACTTTGTGTCAAAACAAATACAACAATGTCTAATTGGAATTGACTCATTTCATTTATCTGTTTTTACTCACTCACTGAATGCACCTCCACATATAATTAATTCACCTGAGTTTTCTGTGCAGAAATTTGAGCTGGGGATTTTTGCCTCAGTGCACATGCCCAGACATGGACTTTGATGTGGGGCAAAATGACCCTGCCCAATTCCTCCCGGATCTGCAGCCAGGGGGAGCTAGAGCCTGGGGCCAGCACCTCTAGTGGCCACAGCACTATAAAAACCTGCCCTGGGAAGCAGCTCAGGGCTACTCTCTCAGAAACTTCTGAGAGAAGAGCCTCCAGGAGGAAGTTGGCCATGCCCCTTCCTATCCTAGGCTGTTGCTTTTGCAAGCTTGGAATCAGCAGCTTCTGGGGAGAAAATAACTAGACCCCTTCCTGCTTTGGGCTACTGCTAGCTGCTGGCTTATTCTCAGAGCTTTTGGGGGTAAGTTGGCCACACCACTTCCTGTCTTGGGTTGCTGCTAGCTGTTGCTGCCCCTCCATGGGGGGGAGGGGGCTCTGCTGCATGCCACTGCCTCCCCTTGAGGAGGGGGCCACTGCACTGCACTGCACCACACCCCAGCACTGTACCCCAGCTTCTGCACCCCTGTTCCAGCCTGCTGCCCAGCCCACCGGCAAGCCATGATTGGGGGAGAGCCTCAGGAAGGAGCCTGCACTGCCTGTGAGGCACTCCCCCAACATCACTGCCAGAGCCTAAAGGCGGCTTGCCTGCCCCAGCTGCCTTGGCAGGCCACCCCCCACCTTCACCTCCACTTTCACCTGAAGCACACCCTGAGTGGCTGAACTGGAAGGCTCCTACCATTACTGCTGCTGTTGCTGCCATCTGTTCTGCTTCTGCCCCCTCTCAGGAGAGAGGGACATTCCCTGCTGTACCACCTTGCACCACTCAACATCACACCTGCACTGAATTACTCCCTAATTGACTGATTGCTCCTGCACTCCCCCACAGCTGCCTCACTGCATCAGATCCTGCTTTATTTTCTTGTCTATTGCTCTGCTGCTGAGTGTCTGGATGGAGGCCTGAGGGGCTCCTGGACTGATCTTCAACAAACAAAGCCCCTCCACCTCTCTAGCCATTTCTTACATCTGCCTCAGCAGCCCTCCCTGTGTGTTGTTGCCCCTGTGCAGTAACTCCTATGGTCCATTCCCCCCTGCCCTGGTGTTGTTGTGTGGCTGAGTAAGCCAGCTCAAGTCTCTCCAGCCCTTGTGTGTATTTCCTCCTTCCCCCGCATCCTCCAAGTGTAGCCCTCCCAGTTTTTTTTTTTTTTTCCTGTGGGGCTGTAGCTCAGTGAGTTTCACTGCCCCCTCCCCCCCACAACCTCAGCCTGCCCCTATTAGACTTACTGGCCACACTATATAATTTGATCCTCTTCATTTGTCTCATGTGAAGCAATGGCAGAGCAGGAACATTCTGGGAGGGGGGTAAATGCCCCTACAGAGCTTCCATCATAGGGGCAGATCCCAGCCAAGCCCCCAAGGGGATACATGACCCTGCAGTCCCCACCCAAGAGGCAGTCCAAATGACCTCCTCCAAGGCTGGAGAAGCTTGAAACCTCTGCTGCACAAGGAGGTAAGGCTCCGGCAGGGAGCCAACAGGGCCAGGGGGTCTCCTGGCCAGGCCCCTCTTGGAGGGGTTCCCAGCCCCCTTGCCCACCATCAAGGACCCAGGGTAAGGGAAGTGGGAAGGGATTCTCTTCAGCCTCCTCTACAGCTGGGGGTGGGAAGGGCAATGGCCCCACCCCCAAGCCTAGACTACCAGTGCCTGAGGGGATCAGGTGTGGCATGCCAACCAGCACACCCACTCAGCCTGTCCCTGGCCCCAGCCTGGCCCACCAATGCATCCCCCCAGCAGGGAAACTGCAGCTATGCACAGGTAGCTGTGGGTTGCCCCACAGCTGCCTGTGAGTCCTGGACCCTCCACCACTGGTCCTTCCAGCTTTGGGGGTGGCAACGCCTTTTCAGGCACTTGCCCGCAGACATGGGATGAAGTGCCAACAGCCCAAGTGGGAGAACCTGCACTTTGAGACCTGGGTGCAGGCCCTGGCTCAGGCCCCCCAGATTGTGATGGCCTCCCACTTTCATGGCAAGGGGGTCTTTTTCCTTGCCTTGGAGGCTACCACACAAAAGGCAGTGGAGAGAGGGCTCATGGTGGAGGGCAAGTATGTCCCCCTCAAGCTCTTAGAGCTGGGTACCAGGGTGGTCCTCAACTCCATCTCACCTTATATCCCTAATTGGTCCCTGTTCCCCCAGCTACAGACCCTGGGGAGAGTTATTTCCCCTGCGGTGGCCCTCTCACTGGGGTGCTGAGACCCCAGCCTCTGCCATGTGTGCTCACTCAATCATCAGGTCATGATCCTGCTGGTGGTGGGAGCACAGCTGGAGGTAGAGGGTTGCTTTGTGATTCCTTTGCAGGGGACCCTTGGGAGGATTTTCTATATGCTCTGAGATCTGCGATACTTTTGATGAACTTCCATCATGAGTGCCTCATGGGCCAGGCAGGAAAGGCATCTGTAGGTCCCATTGTCAAGAGAGTTGCCCCTACCACCACTGCCCCTCCCCCTCAGGCCACCTGGCACCCCAGCCACAACTACCAGCACTCCTGTCAGGTCAGGGGACCCTGCCCCTCAACCACGTTTGGTGGGATCCCAGGGAAGGTAGCAGCAACCAAGGGAGAGAGAAGGAACAAAGACACCCTGCTCCTATTCATGCCCCTTCCATAGCTGCCCTGCCCTCAATCCTCACTTTCTCCTACTGGAGCCTGTCCACCTGAGGACCACCCCATGGCTGAGGGGGTGCAGGTCCCCTCTGGGCACAAAGGCAAGAGGAAGGATCGAGTGCAGTTGGAGCCCTCTGATGTGGAAGACTCCTCTCCACCTCCCAAGACCACCACATGGGAGCCTCCCTGGCTGCATCTGACACCCCACCCCCAGGAAAGATCAATTGGGCAATCCCGATGAAGGAGTTTTCAGGGCTGCTGGACACTCCCAGACAGCCTCTCGCTCTGTTTCCCAGGACCTACCCGCTGAGACCATGGGCATAGAGGCTGAGGCCTTGGCTGATCCAAAGGAAGGTCCATCAGTGAACCACCCCAAAAATCTGGGGGAGAAGGGTGCCTTGGTGCTCACATTGATGAGGCCTGAGGAGGGAAGTCTCCTTCTCCAGGACCCCAAGGCAGACATCAAGGCCACCCCAGTGCCTGAACAGTCTCTTTTCTCCCCCTCCCAGAAAAACCTCACTTCTAGTCTGCCCCATGGTCTTGCACAAGAGGGGATCAGGGTGGGGTGCCCTAATTAAAAGGCTGATCTTCCTGTGGACCCTGAACACACCCTGTGGGTCTCCAGGTCTACCCTAGCATATTATGAAGGAGCCCCACACCCACCCTTATCACCATCCCTGTCCTAAGGGGCTTTAGAGCTCTCCCAGTCCCAACCAGAGTCAGGGTTCATAGTGGACTAGAAGGTTCAAATGGGTCCTAAGGAGCCTGCTGAGCCCCAGGACAAAGAGGAGGATGCCTGAGAACCAGCAATCTCCATGAAGCCTGCAGACCTCTTGGACCCGGCAGTCACCAGGAGTGATCTACTTGCATTTCTTGACCATGATTATACCCACTGGTCCACCAGCAAGGTACAGCTCACCTTGGACCACTGGGCAATTCTGACAGTGTCCTCACTACTGCAAGGGCACTGGCAGGGGAAGGCCCAAAATCTGCAATGCACAGATCTATAGGTGAGCCCACAGTTTCATAGATGTACTTGATACTTATGGGAGGGCTTCGAGTGAGCCAGAGGGCCCCACACCGGGTGTTGAGATGCATGAGGCCCCTACTGAACCATCCACTCCACCCCCCCATCCATGAGGTCACTTAAAATTGTGACCCTCAATGTCCTCAGCTGCAGGAAGGGTCTCTGGAGATGCTAGGTGCTCTCTTTCCTTCAGGAGATGGGGTACCCCATGGTATTCTTACAGGAGACCCTGACAACTGTGGCCAAGGAGCCTAATTGGTGGCTGGAGTGGGGAGGCAGGGTCTTTTTTTAGTTGGCTCATGGCCACCTGTTGTGGGGTGGCCTCCCTGTTCTTCCCCAGGCCTGCAACTGGAGATTCTCCAGGACACTGAGGTGGTGTTGGGCTGCCTGCTGCACTTCTGGGTGCAAGTGCAGGGGCTGGTCCTGAACCTTTTGAATGTGTATGCCCCTGTGAAGGACCTGGAGCTGGCCAACTTTTTTCTGCCAGGCAGCCTCTTACTTTGGCACCCTCAACCCTTGTGAGTGCCTCATCCTTAGTGGAAACTTTAATGTCACCCTAGATACACGAGATCAGTTGGGCAGGGAGTGGAACCAGGCCACTGTGTGCATCCTCGGGGAGATCCTGATGGACTACTCCCTGGTGGACATCTGACATGCCTGTCACCCTACCAACCCCTCTTCTCCCCCCCCACCACCTTCACCTATGAGGGTTGGGGAGGAGCAGCCATGCCACTCCTGGTTGGATCAGGTTTCTATCCATCTGCCTGCATGTTGCCCGGGCCCACTCCTCTGGCATCAGGCCAACCCTTTTCAGTGATCACAACCTTGTCTGGGTGCAGGCCATGCTAGGGCCTGGGCATCTGAGGTTAAACTACTGGCATTGGTACTTCAATGCCAGTCTGCTTCAGGACATGGGTTCCAGGAAGGCCTTCCAGGAGCTCTGGTTGGCTTTGCAGGAGCAACAGGCAGCTTTTCCCTCTGCTCAGAGATGGTGGGATGTAGGAAAGGTATGTATCCAGCTTTTCTGCTGCAGCTATGCTCGGGGGCACATCTGGCAGGGGGGGGGGCAGTCCAGGAGCACCTTGAGAGGGAAGTGCTAGAGCTGGAGAGGTGCCTCACCACCAACCCAACTCCTGAGAGTGTCGAGAGAGGCAGGAAGAGCTTCATGCTCTGAACAACCACTGTACCCACAGTGCATTTTGTCCACTCCTGTGTCCATCTCCTTTGGGGGATGCACCATGGCTTTCACTTCTTCTATGCCCTGGAGAAGAAGAAGGAGGCCAAGAAGTACATCACCTGCCTTCTAGTGGATGACAGCACCACCCATATGGATCCAGGTAAGATGCACCAGCATGCACAGACCTTCTACGAAGAGCTCTTCTTCCTAGATCTGACTGATGCTGAAGCCTGTCAGACCCCCTCCCGCAGGTCAACATGGGTGACTGGGACTGGTTGTAGGCTCCTCTCACTCTGACTGAGTTTTTAGCTGCCCTCAGTCTGATGCCTGGCAACAAGGCACGGGGCATCAACGGGCTGACTGTGGAGTTCTACAGGCCTTCTGGGACATCCTCAGCCTAGACTTTGCTTCTGTTTGTGCTGAATCTAAGGGAAGTGGGGAACTCCCCCTATCATACTGGAGAGCCATGCTTATCCTCCTGCCCAAGAATGGGGATCCCCACGACCTGAGGAACTGACATCCTGTGTCCCTCCTCTGCATGGACTACAAGGTGGCAATAAAGGCCATCTCACTGAGCCTGTGGTCTGTGCTGACAGATGTGATCCATCCGGAGAACTGGCACCAGCTGGAAGCAAGGGTGGTAGAGCAGCTGCAGGCATGGGTAGGACTTCTGAGTTGTCTCTCCCTGTATAGGAGAGCACTGATGTTGAAGCAGCTAGTCCTGTCCATGCTCTGGCACCACTTACACACCTTGCCTGTGTCCATGGAGATCCTGACTGGGCTTCAGAGAGAGGTGCTGGAGTTTTCTGGCCGGGATGGTGTTGGGTCACTGTGGAGGTTCTGAACCTCCCATTGCAAGATGGTGGCCAGGACCTGGTTTGCCTGCATGGCTAGGTCTTGCTGTTCCACCTTCAGGTCCTGCAGTGACTGCTATGCGGTATTAGCACCCAAGCTGCTAGGGGGCACTTAGGTCGTGTCTTCCTCTGCCACTTCCGAGGGCTCCACTGTGACTGACACTTCCTTGGACTGAAGGGTTCTCCCTGCAGGACCTGTAAGGGCTGCCAGAGTTTTTTTTACCAGGACCTCATCTGGGCCTGGAGGCTGGTCCCATGTGCTCTCAGACTGGTGGCACACAGTGGTGGGAGCCCCCATCCCTGAGTCCCACAGCCCTCCCCATTCCCTTGGCTGGGCAAACTGTCCCAGCCCCAATCTCTCCCTCGCTGTGGGGGTTTTCATCTTCCCCTCAGTCCCTTCCCTCCCCCCTCCACCCACCACAAGAGACTAACTGCTGGAGGCTTTTGTGCCCAGCATGGTGAGAGCTGCTGCCTGTTTAGTCTATGGCTGAATCTCTGAAGTGGTGATGGATCTGATTCAGTCAAATCAAATCAGGACTGTGATTCGAATCACCAAATCTAATCACTAGCCTTCTGAATCAGCCAAATCCAAAGCAAATACTTGTCATTTCTCACAGGCCTAAAATCTACTATCAATTGTTCTATTTCCCTTGATAAAGTAAAAGTTACTCATTTCTCAATAGTGAGCCCCATTTTGCTCATGCTTGTGTCACTTTAACTTTGCACAGGGAGGAGGAAAGGCTCTGAGGGTCTTACCCAGGGAATAAAAAGTCTCTTTGGGATTTCCTGCTTGGCAGCATGGCAATGACTGAGAGCTACAGCCAGGCCAAGCTGAACCTCTAGACTGCTCTAAATCTATACACATTCTCAGGTGGAAGGGGAGGGGAATTTTTATTAGAGAGGTTCCCAGGCAGTCGCTCTAATTAAAATGCCTCACCGTTGTGTGTATTAAGCCACTGCACATTAAAAAATGGCCATGCGATGCTTTATCTATACCTCATTCGACAAGGTTTAAAGTGCCCTCTAGCCATATTAAAACACATGGGGGCTTAATACATGTGACCCTGTGATGACACTGTAGCATTCTAATTAGAACATGGAACAGACTTGATTAACTGAGTCTGCTCCAATGCATTCTAATTAGAGCACCAATAAGTGCATGTATAGGCAGCCTAAAATTGTTCAGAGACCAAACAAGATCCTAACAACCCTTCAAGATTTAACTTTGATAAGCAGTTTCTACACCTCATCAAAACCTGCCAGATTAGACACATGCAAGTATTCATGCCCCAGATTTACTCAGTGCAGATAAACCTAAGTTATATAATCAGATGTCAAGAAGAAAAGTGTAAGTTACATAACAAATGGGATAGCACATAATAAAGAGTTTAAACATGCAACTTATCCTGTTATACCTGCCTCTTTTGTGTTATTTGCATTTTTTATTACTGACACTCATTTTAATACCATTTTATACCTATTGAATACATTTCACCATCGTTTGAAGCACTGAATTTTGTCTAGAATTTAAAACACCACCTACAATATCAGCAAGTGATTTCTTACTGGGCATGTCTACATGTAGGCACTTAATGCACTACATGTATGTACCCTTAATGTACCTTAAAATGTCAAATTTAAGCTAATCCTGCCTAAATTTGATAC